CGCCTAACTACATCTACTATACAACGTCTGTCCTCCTTGCAAGTGTAGTGAAGACGTCGTCGAATGGATCTGAAAGGATTCTAAATACTCTACTCGAGCAAACTCTGTAGGTGGCGCTTGGTAAAAGGCAGATCCACACCGCTAGATCCTATGCCATAGCTCTAGGTATCAAATTACTCGCTGAATGTGAGAATGATCCCTGTTGGTCTCTTGCTCTTCCATGTCATCTTCAACCACCCAAAATCAATTTTAACGGAACTACGAGGGTAGTTTCACTTTAATGTGTGATGTTGTCCGGGTAGTTTCACTTTGATCGACTTTTTCCAGGCTCTGGCGAAGGCGATAAGGCCGAAACGTTAGCCATATAAAACTAATGTATCATCGTCACGGCTACAACAACACCCCAAAGAAACTTCACAATATGCCAAGATTCATCGAGGGTCGAACCTGGACGCTAACGGAACTACGGTTGTGAAACAACTTGCCACGGATGACAGATTGTCAGAATAACAGTCAGCAGTAACAATGACATATGAGCCTTATTCGTGACCGGGTGTATGTCGTTCGGCGCGGCCGGATTGCCATTGGGGGCATCGGCAGTAATTGACACCCTCAGTCCGCTGATGCGATGCGTGTCGTGTACAGGGCAACTCGTCCACGTTTGTTAATAACTTGATCGGCTACTTGATCGACCTACGCTGGCACTGCGCCAACATAGACGACCGATTGCGTGCGAATCTCCTACTTAACCATTTTCGTCGGTTTTTGAGCAATTTTTGCCCTCTTTTGCCCGACATTTCTTGATGCTGGGTAGCTACTTAGAAGTGGTTATATCGAGAGTACTTTTGAGCTCTGATCTATCCTACTTCAAAACAGCTTCCAGTTTTTATGAGTGCTCCTCTGCACGGTAAGTCCAGTTCACTTTACTCATGGAACAGAGGTGAAATTAACTCCCTTGGGTAGGGAAAAGGCTGTTTTTCGTGCACTGAAGTTGCTGTCTGACTCAACAATCGTTTCGCTACGAAAATTTAAACGAGAAATGCAACCTACCATCCGATATTAGCTAGCTTCACAGTGGTGAAGTTCTTCAAAAATGCATCGCTTGAGGGTTGGCACAATTTTTTGGAATCTTTTAAAAAAGGTTAGTTTACCCCTTGGGCACGCTCATTTTGGGGATAGAGCTGTAGCCAAATATACTGGTGACAAAAAATTTTGGCCAGCTGGGTGAAACAGTGAAGGGTAGACTGAAGTGTAGACAGCGATAGTTTGTTTCACAAATTTATGTGTCTACTAAAAACTTACCGAAGTTACCACTCGAAGTACCATTCATTGTCTACTGAAAGCTGCTTCGAAGTAAGATATATCAGAACTCAAAAGTGCTCCCGATATAACCACTTCTAAGTAGCTAAGCAGCATAAGTAAGGGATGTCGAGGCGAAAGAGGGCAAAAAATCGCTCAAAAACGGACGAAAATGGTTGAGTAGGAGATTCGGACGCAATCGGTCGTCTATGTTGGCGCACTGCCAACGTAGGTGGATCAAGACGTCAACCAAGACATTAATAAACGTGGACGAGTTGTCCGACCCACGAAACGCGTCGCATCGGCAGGGTGGTGGGTGGCAATTACAGCCGATGCGCCCCAATGGCAATCCGGCCGCGCCGAACGACCGGCTCCCTTCGTGACCTCAAACCCACTACTCACAGCCCAGCGAAAGGCAATATTAGTCTTCGGTCAGACAGTCATTCCTGAATCAAGACACGTCTTGCCGCTGGGGGAGATCTTTGCAAAATACATTCCCCTCGAAATTCCCTTTTTTTGGTGCCACTCCCCCGTCCCAATCTCGCAACCTTCTCCCAGCCCTACCGCCTTACTAGATTTCCCGGCTTCCTGCACTTTTTGAAGCTTTTTTCACTTAAAAATTCCTCCACTTTCTCCCGAAACAAGCACCGCCGAGCGGCCAAAGTATTGGAGACCCTGAACAGGAAAAACCGAGAAAAGCCAAGAGTCAAGGGCTTTTTTCTATGAGGCAAATACGACCATTCCCTTCCTTCAGCGGGCTAATACGACCTCCTTGCTGGGATCCCCAATGTACGACATGCCCTGCTCCTGGTGCACCTTACGAGGTGGAGGGGGAGGTTTTAAACGTCGCTTAGCCGTGCTTGGTTGACTCTTATGTGCACCAGCTATGCATATAGCCTTTTTTTCATGAAGTGCAACTGATAAAAGCGTTGGTGCACGGCTATATGAATACATACGTGAAACCGTATCTGCCAAAGCGGTTGCTGGCATGATAGCACCGGAAAACTCGTCCAAAGGTGTCTGTCCAATAAGCGCAGAACGGGAGTTTTTCTGCAGGTTTTCGGGCGTTTACCTCTACTTTCCCGTCATTTTCCCCCCACTATGTAGCTTCACTGCTTTTGCAAGTACCAACGTGCCCTGCACCCTTGATAAAATATGTTAAAGCATCTCTACCTCTTGAAAAACCCGCGGCAGCCGTCGCAGCTCTGCACTCCGTAGTGGCGACCTGCAATCAAGTTCATCAGCTTTCTATTTCGATAGTAGACAGGGATTCAAGGTGTTACCTGATGCTTGATCTCCACAAATGAGGCAGTAGAGGTCCGACTTTAGCATCGTTCAGTCCTCATGAGGAACATCAACTAATAAAAACAATGAGATTGGACTTGAGCTAGCAAGAACGTTGGGATTTCCCCATCAATTACCCTCAAAAAAACTATCCACTGGGCTGCTTGCTGTTTCTAAGGGATAGTATTTAGGTGAGCCCTCTTCAGCTAAAGGTGAATAGTGAACATATGAATCGCCGTGACAAGGACAATAAATTAGGAAAGCATCAAAGGTCAGACGTACCTCAGATCCTATCCTTCCCGGGGGTGAAGACTTCAGACATTTGACGACTGGGGATCAGCTAATTGAAACAATGAATAATGCGCACTGACGCCTCGGCTCCTTTCACGTGGGAAAGAAGCCCCATCGAGAGCGTCGCGAGCCATTTCAAAATCTTCCGAATTTGGCATGCCCGCAGAAAACCTGCCGGCAGATTATCTGAACAAGTAAAGGACAGCTTTTCTGGGAGACCTTTCAACCAAATTGTAAAAAAGAGGCGAATTTCGTTCGCAGTTTTGGTAGGAAAAGGGAAAAGGAAGAAGAAAAGGAAAAGAGGTGTGTAAACTTATACTTCATTGCGACGTTAGTTGAAAAAAGAAGAATGTAGAAGACTTTACGGCGCATTTCGGTTTGGTGGGGGCACCTAAGCTCACACATGCCAACTTGTAAAGACTTGTTAATTCAGGGTATGTGACAAGAGGATCGTAATTCGCCGCGCTGCTGGGCGTCGCGTGCGACGTCTAGTCTGCAAAGGACGATGGTTCCAGGTAGTAGATGGCGACAAAATGCAATTAAGGACCGAAAACAGTAATGACTGTCTACGATGACGGGGTCTACATGAAGTCCGGTGCTCCATTCGACAGGTTAAAACGAGTTATGAAAACGCCGCGCCCATCGCCGCGCGTGGCGGTGCGGCGAATTACGATCCTCTTTACCGTCTCCCGTAAATTCATGTGACCAAAGAAGCTCACTGAGCACTTTCACAGGAATTCACAGGTCTGACCAAAAATCGACCTGTTAAAACATGAACCAACAAAAGGGACTGGCGGAACTTTGAAATGCCCCTATCAGCCGAAGAGCGCCAATGTGCTTCTCCGACATTGACGAATACTTTGTTCACCTTGCTCTTCTGGAGCTCAGCTACTGCTTGATTACTGACTTATTAGTGAGAACACGCCTTTCCCAGAGCACCGGACAGGGTGTGTAGAGGCAAGTGGTTGGAATATTGGATCAAATCCCGTCCAAGCCAGCCCAGCCTTCTGCTCCGAGGCGGGGTATTATTTCGGGACCTGCTTGTAAAGAGAGAACACCGACTTTAGCATCGATCGAGCTCGTAAGTAGTTGTAGAAAACCCATAATGCCACTATAATTCTGAAACAAATTACGTGGCATTTCAGAAAAAAAGGCTCTGTTCGGCCTTATGGGTGCACCAAATGGTGCTCATCCAAATGTACAGGCCGCCTTGTGGGATCTGTATATTCTTCTAGCTAAGCTGGCTCACTTGCACCTTTTCTCAGCTTCACAACAACGCAACGATTCACAGGTTTCACTAAAATGAGACCCGTTAGTTGACATTAGCGAAAGTTCAAACTTCTCCTCCAAAGCCAAACAGCGCCAAAAATTAATCAGCCTTGAAAGCTTCATCCCCTTTAGTTTCCAAAGTCGAACAGGCTGTAGTGATCACTTTTCTCTCGGGAACATTCTGCAAGTAAGCTCGATTCTTGTCGTCAAAGGAAGATCAGGCGAGGAACGACTTTTGGAATGTATGTTTCCAGTTTTCCCTGCAATTATTATGTGGGGAAAATGCTATGCGCCAAAAAAGGCTTTTCCAAAGGAAGCCCATTTCCTCAAAATCCAATTAAATAAGCAGTCGCAGAAGTTCTCTCCGCTTGAGGTCATTATATTGTTAAATTTAGCACACCTTCAATAGTCGCCATTTTGCCGGCAATTGAACGAATTTCGACAAGTATTGCGGGTTTTGTTATATGGTTGTCATGGCGACCTGTAGACGAGCGCCCAATGTCCATGTGCCAGCTGTTCCTCGTCATTGAACCTCATCGACTGTGGTAATACTATGGAAAGCTTCTAAAAGATGTATTCGAAATGGCCACTGGATTGCTTCCGCCATCGGAACTTCGTCGAATTCTTCTAACGACTGATAATTCATTCAACAAAACGGATGTGGTGGCCTTAGGCCGTCTATTAGCTGCTTTCTACCTCGATTATCCTCTTTTCGTGCCTCATCCCGGTACCGCCTATCCGTCACTGTTTCTTTGGTCTCAGCTCAGTGGAAGTGAGTTATTTTATTTTTACACTTTGATGCCTTGAAGTAGTGAACGACTTCTTTGCAGCTGCTGCACGAATCATAGAATGGCCTTTAGCTGAGATTAAACTTGTGGCCTTTCGGAGGGCAGAAATTTATTTGCCTCTTTAAAAGAGCGGTGTTCGATGACCCGTTAAAATTGAAGAGGTTATGTGGGAAGGTAGTGCGGTTTCGGAGTGGACCCTGTGCCAGTTTCGCGGCGGAAAGTTGTACGGTAAAGGGATTAAGGCGCAAAGTTGCTTCAGTGGTACATCCCTTTTCCAGTGACTCCGCCTCCAGACTCCGCCTCCAAAGTCGGCCTTCCAGCCAAAAGTAATGCTCCCGGGCAAGTATCATGGAGTGGATGCATTCAATGTCTCTTGTAGAGTCATAGGGTTCATTACTGGGAATCAGCCGACGGGAATTGTCCCAGCGCGCGGTCTTTTCGGTCTTACCCCTACAGTTGTTTGAGGGTAGAGGAGGCCTAACGAATGCGTTTCCGATGTTCCATTTGGCATTTTTTCATAGATGGTTCACTTGGCGAATTTTCTTCCACATTTCTGCAGAA